TGCATCCATCGGAACCTTGACTGCAAAGACACATAAAAGCAAGTCAGTCATTGCATTCAAAAGTAGAGAAAACCTCTAAATTGCAGGCACATCAAGAATGCAACATTAATATGAAAAGAACGCCGCATGTCACTTAACAAGATGCTATAAAACAACAATGGATCGGTCATATATGCATCACACTTTTAGGCATATAATTAGAAACAAGTTATATGCAGAGGAGGAGATAAAGAAAACCTATGTTCTCCATGTTAAAGCAAAATGGATCCCATATAAATTAGAAACCCGAGAAGATTGACTCAGTTACCAGTGGCTTTTAAATGAGAACCGTTATCTGCAAACAACATTCTTTGAGGCGCAATGAACCCTTATTGTGAGTCCAACAACTAAATGAATATCTGAACCATACTTCAGGTTTTCTATCAAGAACAGTATCAGCGGGATTATAGAAAACCGTCACCGTCCTTCCTGCTTGAACATCGAGAGGTTCAGTATAAACTACATTCTTCTGAGAAAGCAAAAATCTCTTCAAAGTTCTTTCCTTCAATTTAGCTTTCCTTTGTGCTGGTTTCTCAGCCTATGACAAGTGAAGAAAAAGAAAAAGAAATCATTAAAGTCGGATAAAATAACAAGTGAACTTTTTAATAATCAATTCTAGTGGAAATCTGGAACAAAAGAATACGGTTTCATGGAAAATGACCTTGGCTCAAATGGCAGCCTCTCTTAGTTTCCTCTCCTTTTGAAGCTTCCTGAATATCTGCTGTTCTTCCTCAACCCAGTACATATATTCAGGAATGGCTTTCGGGACAATATATCTTGGAAGTCTTGACGATTATTGTTATAATAGATAGTAGAGGCCTTAGGCGGTCCATCGGTGAAGACCCAATCCAACACAAGGGCTTGATCAGGTATAACTGCAGAAAAATTTCACCTCAATCATATCAAAACATACCACAGAAATGTCCCTCTACTTTCAAAGTATTATCTCAATCAACGACGAAGAATGTTCAATCAGATGACCAGAACAACTACATTAAAGAGCCCCAAGATAGAAGCATTAAACATTATGTGACTCCTCTATGTCATTGAATGCATACAAACTAAAGTAAGAGCACAAAATGAGGATGATGAAGATTTTGATTCATACCATATCAGCACAAATTCAATGGAAAATATGGTTAAACGTACCTTCTTCATACCACCAGTCATCGTCCTCTTTCTCTGGTCGGACAAGCTTGTCAGCAATTGTTAATACATCATTCCAATTATTATGCCCGCCGTGAATCCAGAGCTCATTGGCATGAGCAAGAGGGCCTGAACTTTTTCTATAATGTATCTTGACCTTTTCAGCCCCTTTGAATTCATTAGGCTCTATGAACCAAATATTATTGATTGATCGAGCTGCATTTCTCGTCTGTTTTCAATCTCAGTTCTTGCTTCTGCTCTATCTTCTTCACTTGCTTCTTTCTCTACTTCTACTCTTCTTTTCTCTACTTCTTGCCTTTCCTTTTCGGCCTTCTCGTTCTCAAGTTGCTTTTGCTCCCTTCGCTTCTCCTCAACCAAGAAATCTTCAAATGCGAGCTCATCCATTCCACCCTCGACAGGTATGCAAAAGTCGTTTTCATTGTTATTATCGTAAGTGTTCTTCCCATTACAGAACACAAAAATCCATCTTGTAAGCTTCCTTAGGTACATGAATCACACAAGACCACCAATCCCCTCTGAGATGGTTCTTATTCAACCTTGTAGTGAATGATCTCCATCGCCAGTGATTGAAGGATCCTCAATCAGAACATCCGGTTCATCTTTGAGAGGGGAGAAGCTCCTATTAAAGAACACTTCTATGTCCTCATCAGGTTTTAGAATTTGAGGATAAACAAAAAGTTTGTCTCCACTCGAGAATTTTTCCTCTGCAAGCCCCTCGATTTCCTGCTTCCGCCAATTTGCTTCCGTCTCCAACTTCAATAATAGAGAATTATCTTCAGCTCTTTCTTCGTTAGTTTCATCACTTTCGATCTTCACAGCACCATTGTCATCAGTTTTTGTACTATCTGCATGTTTCTCTTCATAGATGACATCTTTTGGTATACTCACGTCATTTTCCGAAGTTATTTCTTTCTTCTCGAACCCAGCAACATCTTCAAGAATCTTACTTGTACTTCCATTTAGCACATTCAGGTTGCTCTTACCATTTACCACATCAAGGTTGCTTATGGAAACATCTAACCGTATACTTGCGTTTACCACATTCAAGTTGATTATATCAGCATCTAACTCTTTTCCCACTGATGGTAAATCCTCTTTTGCCTCCTCTTGACCTGCATCTACCATATTATTCTGAGAAACTTCAGTGTTCGATCCCTCCGCAAGAAGCAACCATTGATTCAATTTCAATGTTGTTAGGCTCTGCATACTCGATGGCATGCTAGAATCCTCTTTGTCACCATTAATCTTTGGCTTACTCTTCGGGGTGCTCGATTCATCCTCAACAGAAACATTTGATTCAACTTCAATATTGTGAGGCTTTGGAGACTCGGTTGACGCGGGCAGCTAGTGTCCTCTTTGTCACCATTGATCTTTGGCTTCCTCTTCTGCGTGCTCGATCCTCCTTGTGATTTCAGAGTGGAACCCTTTGGAGCTGGACCTTTAGAGTTCGGGTTAGACGATCTTCTTGGTCTCCTCTTTGAGGAATCTAAAGACAAACTCAAATTTGTTACCAACGGTTCGATATCAAAAACATTAAACTAAAACAAAGCACATCAGTTAGCATCAACAAACCAGATGCACTAGCGGTAATTCTATGTGAAAGACTGTTGACTCGGCACTGCCATGGGGTAAACTGCAACCATTAAATCAAAATCAGAACAAGCATTCAAGGCAAACTAGATCACAATACAATTCTACTCTAAATCATAAAACTTGAGCTTTTTCACAGGAACAATGATATAATCAGCTAAAAAGCAATGGAAAAATCAAACAACAACACTGATCAGCCAAAAACACATACAAATCACCTGTCTAGAAGCCAGAAAAGGTTTGATCTCGAAACAGACATTGGTGTGATGCAACACAATTTTATAACTCGGAGGTCTCTGTAATTGTAAACTCAGCTCCATGGCTGAGTTGTCAGAACAGAAAAGAGAACGTTAGCAGTTAAGAGAGAGTTCAGAGAAAATCTATAACATTACACTTTATTAATTGATTCATAATTCATTAATGAACTCGCTTAGTATCTCATAAAAATCGAGATTTTTTTTTTTGAATTGAAAAAAAAAAACCGAGAATTTAAATTTAATATTTAATTTTTATATTTTAATTCAGACTAATTCTATCACCAACTTTAATTTGACGTGATTTGGTCTCTTTCCTCTTATAATGCTATTAAGAAGTTAAATTGATAATATTATTAAAATAATTTAATGTTTTGATTTTTTTATTTATTATGTGACATGATTTGGTCTCTTTCCTCTTATAATGCTATTAAGAAATTAAATCGATAATATTATTAATCAATAACTTAATGTTTTGTTTTTTCTTTTCTTTTTTTCAATTTTCCTTACAATGCAATTTGACAGAAAAGCCGATGAAGCTAAAGAAAAACAACCAAAGATGGATAATTTTGTTTGTTTGTTAAAAAGTTAAAATTTATTATTAGTCACTAAACTATAGGTAATGTCTTATTTTACTCATTGAGCTGTAAAAAAATCAATTTTAACACTAATTTAATAATTTAGCCAAGAATCAATCAGTAACCCACATATGTTGGTCGAGTGATAAGTTAACAATGTAAATTTTTGGATGAAGTTGTATAGATAAAAAGAAATATCAGGAGGATTTTGCGTTCTATTGAGATTATTTAACAAGATATTTTGATTTAAGAATCATATACATTAGTTATCTTAACAAAATTTTTATTTGTTTATTTTTAAAATTACCAACCTAAATTCTTAAATAATACTCAAACTAAAAACTTTTATTATTCATTTTATCATGTTTAAGATTCTTCCCAATGTACTTCCTCCTCGAAAAATGTCTCCCTCTCAACTCTTAAATTGATCCTACTTGAATCTCATAGCCACCATCATTTTCAATTATTCTCTTTGTAATTTCATCCAAATCAAAAAGAGTGAATTACCATTTTCTTCTATTCAAATCATCAATATTATATTAATCAAGCTCTTAAAATACAATCATCAAATTTCAAACATGTTTATAACTAGCATATGAGCATTTTGAAAGTTATAAGCAAGATGAAACTTCAAAAGTCTGAAGAATACAAGCACATGGGTGCAAATTAAAACGGATACCGACAGGTGTAGATTTTCTGGGGAAGCAATTTGATGATTCGTTGTTTTTCGACATTACATCCCGGTGGGGCCTGTCTTGGGATGGGCATGGGACTCGAACACAATGGATTCAGACTCGATCGGATCGATTTTTTTTTTAATTTTGAGTCGGGTCGGATCAGATTTTTTAAAGACGATGTTCGGATCGGGTAGGATTTGTGTTTATGGTGAAAAATATCCGACCTGAAAAATAATATAATTTTGCCTTATATATATATGAATAAATATAATAATATCCCTCTATATATTATTTTTTTCAATTAAATCCCTATTTTTATTGAATAAAAAATAATATTTTTATTATTTCGGGTCAGGTCGAGTTCTGATCGGGGGTATATATGTTTCGGGTCGGGTTCGGGTAGAGGATGTAAAAATTTCGAGTCGAGTCAGGTCGGCCGAAACCCAACCCATGCCCATCCCTAGGCCTATCAGATGTGGCTAAATCTAAGTGTTGGTATTTTGCAGCTCAACTTGAATGCATGGCCATGGTTTTCTAGAATCTAGAAAGCAGCTTGGTGCGATTTCAAGGGAATATCTTACTAGTTGATGTCACCGTCATTTTCAACTAACATTTAGCCCCTACCCGTGTTTCCTTGGTGCCTGTGATGAAGGTCTTCAACCAAATGGAAATGGAGAATTCGAAGTTTGCAGAGGTTGAATCAATTCAATTAAGTCTATTTTGATTTTTAACCGGTTGGAAAAATCGATACGGTTTAGTCCATTCCAGTTACATGAATTTGATGATTTGTCAAAACCAATACAAAGCAAAAAATTTCTGGGCACCTGGTTTGCCCATCCATCGCACGATAGATTACTATTTACGATTTACAGCAAGAATAAAGACACTGGCGACGCGAAATCTTGGTTGAGGGCTCTCTTTACGAACCTGAAAGCTGGCATACGAAAACAATACCATAAACCTGCAGAGGAAGGGATCAACCATTTCTCTTTTTTTTTTTGACAGGCCTTTCTCAGTTTGTAAATGGGTTGGCAGCATCCTGGGTATAAACAACTCGATCACCATCACCGGCAATGAGTGTTAGTTTAACTAACCAATGTCTTCAGCATCATTTTTTGAGTTCCCTAAACTCGTACCATCAGTTGCGGTTTTATTAGTCTGGCATGCGCGTTTTCTTGGTTTCCTTAATGTTGGAACTGATAGAGGACCCAAGCCGAGTTGTTCTGCCATATCGACAGCATGCTCCTGTGGTGCAACTTTTCTTGTGCTTGGTGTTTCCTGCTTTGAAGGTCGATGTGAAGCTGAAGTTTTAAGAGGACATTTGCTGATCGTACGCGCTTCATTCTTTGATTTTGCACGTGAAGTACGGTCTGATGCAGATGCATCTAAGCTCAACCAGGAACTGCTTTTATCCTTCTTTGGGCCTGTTAAATCCATCTGCAAAAAAGACGGAGTTTCCCTTTCAAGACCACAAACATTGTTTTCTGAGTTGCCATGGATACTTAATTCCCATTGTTGATCATTACAATCTTCATCCGTCACAATTTCTCGTGTCATGGAACATTGAGCATCCTACAAAAAGCAATAAAGTAGGAATTGCGAAACAAGGGCTAGAGAACAGCACAAACAATATGAAAGCATGCTCATGTTGCAATGGGAAAAGAGCAGGATAACAAGAAAGAGGAGAGATACCTTATCTTGCATCCCAGAAACTTGCTCGCAGCCTGAACCTTCTTCTCCCTCAGAATCAGCCATTTCTTCACACTCAAACTCCACATTTTCCTCAACCTCTTCATCAGAGTCGCTTAACTCTTCCTGTTCCATCACAATCTCTGGATGAGACTGGTTACTTGCATCATCAATGTATCGGCCAATGATTTTGCTTGATACAGTTGATGAGCAGCCACCTAAAACAAAGTTGTTGCCTGATGAATGAAAAGCGTCGGGTGTTTCTGTTGCATTTTGAGAATTCAGTAACCTAACTGATGAATTTGTAGGATGTGCAGTCACACCCCTGCTTAATGCTGCATTTTCTTTTGTAGAAGAACTGAGATGGATCTCCAAATCTAGTTCGTTAGCTTTCTCAATTGGACTAGAGGGTCTAGATCTGGTAACAAACGTGCTGCAATGGACCACTGGCCTCATCTGGACAGCATCCAAAGGAGTGGGTGTAGCAGATTTTGCCATCCAAACCAGAAGATGTTGATGCGATGGAGCATGCAGTCACTAGTTCACTATTTGCTTCATCAGTTCTTTGCAGGAGCGGGTGGAAATCAATTCCATATGGTGCTGAAACAGATTCCTTCATTCTCAAAGATTTGGTCAAATTATCATCAGCGCTGTTAGCTTGCTGTGGATTGTAAAAGAGACTTAGATTTAGATGGGGCTGGTTCCCAGAGAACAAACTGAAAGAACTGGATGTACCAGCTCCACAATTCATTGGATAATATGGAAGTTGTCCATCTTCAGGGGTCTGGAATAGCAATGGATGCATCTGAAGATCTGTGCGAGTACATCTTTCTTCTGCAACATTTTTGTCCTTGACAAACCTTGATTCTTCTGAGCTTGAATTTGTGACATTCTCCCTCATTGGATTGCTTTTATCACTTTTATTCACCAATGACTTAGCAAACCCTGAAAATGGAGAAACTATATTCCCCATTCCAACATCAACACCACCAGCTCCAGTAGCAGAAACCTTGGTGTATGCTCCACATTGATTGAATTTCAGAGCCGATTCTGGGATTATACGAACAGATGGTGGTAGATTCACTGGGGGCAAATCTGGTGCCAATTTCACTAACCGTAGATTGTTGGATTTGCGAGATCGATATGGCCGTAAATATATCTGAGTTTTGGAGGTATTTGATATCATAGTAGGAACAGGGTGTGTTGGTTGCAATGCATTAGATGCACGGTGAGGAAAGGTGTAAGGATGCTGGGAATGATTCAATGCATGCTGAGATCCCTGATTTAGGCCTGTCAATGGCCGAGTGACTGCAGACCTATAGTTATTGGGTTGTTCTCTGACATTTGCACCCTCTTCTGTAGGCACATCATTAGGCGGGTTCTTGTCTCCAACGATCAAGGAAGGACTTTCAGATGAGAAGAGCTTTGTAATACCTGGCCTCCAATCGGCTAAAAATCCTTCATGAACATAAGACTCCTCTGCATTATCTACACTGCAATTCTCTACACCAGTATATCGACAGTCCTACAGTCAAGGAAAGCAAGTCAATCATCTCATAAAAGAACATTTGCCCCCCCCCCAAAAAAAGTATCACAGATCCAAGCTGACTCAAACTGTATCGTTTATTAAGTTAATAAATGAACTAGAAACAAGAACACTGCAAGAACATTGATTGCAAAATGCAGGTCGATTATTAATTACAATTTTCTGAACATTTTAGAATCTTTGCTTTATGTTCTGAAAGTGTTATCCTAATCTGCAAAATGTGATACACTCAATTAGATGATTAAAGATCAAGCTTTAGCCAAGCAACAAAGAGACCAGCAATTTTGAAGCTCAAGTCCTAATGGACATAAATACATTGGTACAACTATTTACCAAATATTCAGATTTTCTATCATTCATGTTTCAGAGGTTATATACAGTGAACGCAATAAAAGGTGAAAATGAGAAGAAAATGGGGTGTTTCCAACTTCAAATTGGTAACAAACCTCTTTACCAAATGCATGTTGCCAATTACTCGAATTGGCAGCTTTACGCTTTCTTCTTTCTGATTCATTTATTCGGCGCTTCTCTTTTTTGGCGGCATCTTGTTTATACGACTTCTGAGTTCCAAGAGCTATGCGCCACTGCCGGGGAAGCAAGGATGGATCCCTGTGTGGAACTATAAATTTCCAGACAGACATCCAGTCAAGTTTGAAAACCTTGAGCCCCTACAAATGTTGAAATCATACTTGGAATTACAAGACCATACCAAAGGATGACAAGACATAAATCGTACACAACAATTAAGAGATTACCTCATGAATACCTTGTATCTCTTCTGCAGTCAAAGGAGATGTTTTCATTCTCCGGACTGCCTGCACAAAGTACCAAAATGTTTATTTTACATAAAATCTTGCAAATAAATAGTAAAGAGGTCAGCAATCAAGTAACTATAATGAAGTTATCTCCTAGGATGTAAATTTTCAAGTAGAACAATTTAATCCAAAGACCACCTCTTGATATAACCTAATAATCAATCACATCACTACTTTGGATACCCACTGTGGTTCAGTTCTAACCATTAAAATTAGAATTCCAAGACCATAAAGTTCTTTCAACCATCAAAACAAACATGATGCTCTATGGAGCAGAAAAAAGGTCACCCAGATTCGTTTAGGTCCATTTTACAATAAAATATGAAAATTAAAATATTTGAGAACCATGGTGCTTAATTGGAATATAACCAGGCAGATACAGAAAAAGTGAAGGATGAGAGGCATCATAATTAATTTATACCATTCATTGATGAATAAAAAGATAAAACTTAACTCAAGTAGATATCAAAAGGTAGATGTGTTCATCTTTGATTTGCGAAAGATGGGCAGATACCTTTATGGGATTCTCTGGCGCTTTAGATGAGCAACGATTTTTTTGCCTAACAAAAATCTGAAGAAAGTAAATGCGTAAAATGAAATAAGAGCTTAGAGTCCGATCACGAAGAATACTTGGATAGTGTTGCAGAAAGATAAGGATATAAGTTACCTGATGCTTTGATTTGCAAGGAAGAAAACGTTGCTGAATTGCTTTCCAATCTGTATTGTATTCCATCAAACCCAAAGCCAATAATCTGCATAAAAATCTCAAATATAAAAATAATGGGCCTTCACAATCTTTGTTTAAATAAATGTTTAAGTTTCATTAACATGAATGCTTAACAAAGAGTCAAGACAATCAAGCAACAAAAGAACAGGGAAGCATGCAACTCACTCATCCTCTGCATCAGTGAAAAGAACCCGATTTGCAACTGCAACAGGAGGTGGCTTATGTGGAAATAATGCTGGATTGAACAACGGAAAAAACCTCTGTGCTAACTTCGCTATTTCCTTGGGGACAAAGGCAACTGACTGCATTTTTGTTTTCTCAACAAGTGTAGCAGCCAATGTCTTCTTAGCTGGCGGCTGACAGGCTGATGATGGTGCTATACAGCCAGGCGGTAGAGCACTGCTTCTTGATGCTTCATTATTAGCTTCCGTCATGGATGGAGAACAAGGAAGAGGGAACAGAGGTGCCTTTTCATATTGTGTAGTACAACCATTCTCCAATTGACGTTGCCGACGCTCCTGGACAGCTGTCAAATAATTGAAAATTGTCAAATCCCATTGATATGCATACCAAGCAAAACAAAAAAGGGGGAAAATAAATTTAGGCATACCAGAATATACATCATCCATGTATCTTCCAACTAAATTAAATGGAGCAACATCAAGAGTGGATAATACAGGGCTGGTTAAAGAAGGCACCCAGGAAGAGCACAACTGCCCATTAGAAAAATATTCATATCTTCTTCCAGGACTAGAAACACTTTGAGCATCAAGCATCTGTGTATCTTTGGAAGAGCAGACCGCATTAGCATTAAATGTAGATGTTTTAGGGGTGTTCTGTGTGGGAAACAAAAGTGGGACCTCATTTCGCACTGATGAAGAGGCATATGGAGCCTTGAAGCAAGTATCAGGATATGGTTTTCTTTTACAAGCTATAGCTTCATCTCGTTTTTGAAGCATCTCAATAATCAGTTCCTGAATTTGAGATGCAATGTGCTGCCAGGAATGGTCAAGCACACAAAGAGAAAATATTTGAATAAGAAGCTGCACATGCTCATGTATCAAGCAATGCAACTGGCCTATCTGATAAGGAGTGAACCCATTGATGAAACCATCTACTGGTGCAGAGGATACAGAACTCTTATAAGCCTCGAGCATCCAAGCTTTCCCATTAAGAGTAGGTGTGGGTGTAATAGGTCCATTAGGCAAAATTGGTAACAGGGGGCGCAATGGTCTCTTAGTCTGCTCCGAAAGCTTTTTGTCATACTGAGCTGAGGCTTTTTGCCATCTATTTTGCCTTGTTTCTGGCCGTTGCCCAGCTCTTTGATTTTCCTCTGCTTGTGTCTTCTCCAATGTAGCTTCCTCGTAATCACTCTCAAGTGCCTCCTCAAGTTCTACTTCAAAATCGGCATCATTTTCCTCATCTTCATCATCTACATTTTCATTAACCTGAGTTGACAGGTGATCACCATCCCCATCTTGCAATACAGCTGCAAGAAATTTCCTATACTCCTCTTCATCATTAACATTTTGAACATCATCCTCATCATCTGTTTCCTGAAGAAAGGCCTCAAGTTCATCAAGAGTGAAACCGGCAAGTGAATAACGAGCCCTAGTACGCCTGCAGATAGCATCATCTTCATCGTCATTCAAATGCATCATCATCTTCGGGGAATGTGTAGAATTACTCGAGTCTCCAGCCGTACTTTTCTTTACACTACTGCTCAATTGACGTTCCTCTCCTCTTTCCAATTCAGGGGAGGCAGTACTTTGCATCACAATTTCCTCGACGCAGTGCTCAGAATCTCCAACATCAGAGTTTTGCAACTTAGTATTAACCTTCGATGAACTAATATCTGTAGTAACATGAGTATTTATTCTACTATCAATTGTATCACCATCCAAACCCTCGATTTCAGAGCACAAACTAGAAGAAGCCTCCAGAGAAGGTGTTTCCTTCAGAAAGGGATTGAAATCCACATCTTCTTCCTCATCCTCACCATCTTCCACTCCTTCCTCCGCCTCCTCCACACCATCATCAGATTTTGAGTGACCACTTCTCACAACATTAACATTTTGCTGATCTTGACTCTCAACTTCACTAGTTTGCACATCCTCACATGAAGCCATTTTGAATAAATTTCACTACACCGAAAGCACATAACAGAACCAAACAGCAATGAATGATTACGCCCAAACCTAGACTATAAAAAGATGATATTTTTACACAACAATTAACCCCAGATCAAAGATTTGAATCAGCACGCGGAAGAAGAGAACAACTAACTTAAACTGATTGCAAATAGCATTCATCAAATTATATGATCGCAAGTGCGAAAATCAACAAGTTGAAAGCTTTGACCCATAAATTTAATGGGTTGAGATGAAATCTATCGATTTTTAAATCCTAATTCCGCTGCATTGTAAAAACAAACATTGATCCAGAGAGAATTAGATAAAAATTGGTTTATAATATTGAAGACATCGAAATATTCAACTGAAATACTTTAAAACACGAGAATTAAAAACGAAATCATTCAAAATAATGTAAGAGAATCGTGGTCGTACCAGCGAATTGAGTCGGCTTGCTGAGGAGGAATTTGGGAATGTAGGGCGCGAAACGGCAGAAACATGTGCAACTCTCTCAACCGAGGGCAGATACGACGACGTCGTTTCCTCGCATTATGTATTCATGCCGTGGCCTCTTATGTTTTTTTTTTTCAAATTAAAAAATGATAAATTACACATTTGATAACTGATCTTTATTCTTTATCCTATTTAATTAACTTTACTTTAATTTTTATCAATTTACTCACTAAACTTTATCTATCGAATTTTTTTTTCACTCGGTCGTTTTTTCTAAACTTCGTTATGACATAACAAGTTTTATTAATATTTTAATCGGCTAATATTTTATTAATATTTTTTTATTATCCATCACTCTATTCATCTTCTCCAGCGTGGCTACTTAAAATATCTTCACCATTTCTCTTCCTCTCCTAATATCTGCGGCAAAACTTTCGAGATAATGTTTTGAAAGAAATTAATTCACGAGCTAATGCACTCCCAAAATTAATTGCTCAAATAGGGTAAAATCCACAGTGGCCGTAGGTCGCCATGCCTTCCGGACGACCTACTAGGTCGCCATGTCTTCCCGGCGACCTACAAGAGATTGCATGTTCCATGCACGTCCCAACACGCTGGGCATCCGAGGCCATCCGAAAGCATCCAAGGCCATCCGAGAGCATCCGAGGCCATCCGACCGAGGCCATCCGAACGAGCTATGCGAGGGCAACCGAGCGAGCTATGCGAGGGAATCCGAGGGTAACCGAGCGAGGGTAGGTCGCCATGCCCTCCGGGCGACCTACCATCGCTCGGTTGCCCTCGGATTCCCTCGCATAGCTCGCTCGGTTGCCCTCGCATAGTTCGTTCGGATGGCCTCGGTCGGATGGCCTCGGATGCTCTCGGATGCTTTTGGATGGTCTCGGATGCCCAGCGTGTTGGGACGTGCATGGCACATGCAATCTCTTGTAGCTCGCCGGGAAGACATTGCGACCTACGGTCAACACTGTGAATTTCACCTTATTTGAGCAATTAATCTTGGGAGTGTTTTATCTCGTGAATTAATTTTTTCCAAAATATTATCTCGAAAGTTTTGCCAATATCTGCACCCCAAACCCAACAGCATCGATCATTAAAACTTTCAATCTTGGAGTTTACTAACAAATCTCAAATCCTCCTCTATCTTCACCACTCAAATACCTTCAATTTTTCTTTAGTTTTTCAAAGTCTATTACTCAGTTTCCCTTCCATAAAAAAGCTTCATCTTTCTTGTTTCTTTTCAGCCATGTTGTTGAAAGCTGTTCCAACTTTTTATTTTTCTGAACCCTCATATGGAAAGTCAAGGTCTTCCCCTATTTTCCTCTGCTCCATTGCAATATTATATTTTTTATTCTTCTTCATTTCTTCTCCAAAAAGTGGAGACAAGACCGTTATTATTTGTGCAACAAAAGGAGTCAATAGTATGCGGGGAATTCCATCATACTTTTAAGGGTAAACTACGCCATTAGTACCTAAACTTTAACTTTTGATTCGATTTAGTACATGAACTTCTAATTAAAAATCATACCTAACGTTTAATTTTTGTTTCAATTTAGTATCAACCATTAAAAATTAAATGGCATAGCTAACTATTTTTTAATTATTATTTAATCAATTTTATCCAACTAATAAGGTGGTCTACTTGGGGGAGGGGAGGCGCTCAACCATCTATGTTGGGGCAGAACATTGGTTTTTAAATGCCAAAGTATATATTTAACTTATATTAAGCTGTCACTATAAAATGAAACAAAATTGTTAGATATATGATTCAAACTTATGATATCTCCCAAAATATTCAATCATTTAATCATTAAATCATATTAAGAATTAATTTATTAAAGATCAAAATTATTATTTAACTTATTTTAATTTAAAATTAAATAATTTTATTTTAATTTAAGATAGTTAAATAATTATTTATATATTTTGTAAAATCAATATTAGTTTATTTTAAAAAACATATGGATTATATTATAAGTAGTTTAAAATTAAATTATTTAAAATATAAATATACAATTTAAAAATATTTATATTTTTAAATTATTAAAATTTAAATACTAACTTCTAATTTATAATCATTTATGAAAATAAACATAAATAATTATTTAAAAAAATTAAGGATAGAATATAAATTTTAATTTAATATTTTTCATAATTATTTAATCAAATAAAAAAATAAAAATAATAATTTTAAATATTTATTTAATTATTTTCTTATTTATAAATGATAAACTATTTAATTTGAATTTTAAATTTAAATTTAAATTTTTATAAGTTAAATAATAATTTTGATATTTTATAGTGATATTTTAGTATATGTTAAATATATGCTTTGTCAGTTAATGGTCTGCTGTAGCTCAGATGGTTGAGCGCCTCTTTCACCCTCCCAACATACACGTTCGCACCTGTAAAGCCCTCCTTTGGGGGGTATTTTGTGTTGGCTTTTGTTCTAAGGTGTTATTAGTTGATTAAAACTAATTAAATAATATATAAATAATAATTAAAAACATCACATCAGCTCTACCGGCGGGATACTAAATTGAAACAAAAATTAAACGTTAGGTATGACTTTAAAATAATTGAAAGTGCAGATACTAAATTGGATCAAAGGTTAAAGTTTAGGTACTAATGCCGTAGTTTACCCTACTTTTAATGAAATAGTTTGCAGGGTTAGCTGTTTGCACTAATTAATGATATTAAAAAAAATAAATGGATCACTTTATATTAAATTAAAGTGTGTGATGACCAAATCTTGAAATTTATGCATAGTACATGCACCAAATCCACAATTTGGTCTTATTATAGGACTGGGATTGAATTTTGGGGTCTGAATTAAAAAAATAAAGTATACTAGAGGTCACTGAACTATGCTCTAATGATTATTTAGTCATGAAACTTTTAAAACTTACAAAATGATCATTAAATTTATCAAATTGTATATGCATATCTGATCCACTATCTGCAGTCTTTCGATTCCTCTGTACTGCTCGAACTGCTGCTATCCGAGTTACTATAACGTTCCGAGGGTGCTTAACCATTCTTCCTACTACCTTCTGTTAACTTGGGAGTGAAGCAACTGGAGGAAGGGTGATTATAATAAGGCCGTGGATGGATGGAGACGTAATTTGGATTAGTCGGAAAGGATCGATAACCGTATGTAGTAGGATAAGGACAGGAAGGGAAGACATTTGGTGGAGGCCAAAATACCATAGGAATGAAACTGTTTACAGATTGTGGTGGGAACAAGTGATATGGGGTTTGGTTATGGTAGGAGATATTGTTACCAAGACTCTTCATCGTCGTGCTCGAGACTCGTGAAGTATCAGCTGGTGCCTGGGATGGTGCGGTCTGAAATGCTGCCATTGCGTGAGTTTGAACTGAGGTGTATCCCATGAGGCCGAACTGAGTAGGGTGTGCTGTACTCGACGGTACTGATTGTTGATACGAGGCTTTCGGTAAGTCGTGAGACTTGCTGCTGGAGTTTGTCTGCCTTCTTCCTTTTGGTTTTGTTGAGGTAGTCTTTGAAGTTAATGGCTCTGAGCTAGGACTAGCCTGCTGAAAAGCAAAATAATTAGCATAAAGAAAACCATCTTTCAAGGGAAACGACAATCGACAACAAATTCAAGATGAGATCATATCACCATTACAGCATTGTATCCGTACCGTTCCGTTTTATAACCAATGAAAGCATACAAATGTAGACATAACTCATAGGTCATATCCAATCTACATCCAGAATCATATTATGTTTTTCCATTGACAACATGGTATGCATTAAAATGGTGACACCAGAGAAGGAAACGGAAATCCTTGATAAATAAACGAAATGTAGAACGATTAGATTCGGGAATTGCGATCTTACAGTGTTGGAATGTGAAAGAAACAACTCTTCACCTTCAGCCTCCTTGTCGGTCCTGTAATACGAAGGTTGAATATTAAGTGAAATACTAAACCAGATTAGTTGCTAAGCTGAGACATCACAGCGGTGGCAAAGTGCAACCAAATCCGGTTCTTACCTATAATACTTCTGCAGCAAGTCTAAGTTCCTATATTTTGTTTCTCGTTGAACAAGATCGTCGGGGAAACCTGCCATGAAGAGAAGTGTGATGCCCAAGGCCTTGAAGAAGAAGCTCCCACTGCGAATATGGACTAGCATTGCTATTTGGCACATGATAGGTCCAAAAGACTTCAGTTTATTTCTTCCCATTTGCTGCCTGACATATCTGGAAAAATGCAGCCCGAAAATGTTGCTAGATCATTAGACTGAAGAGGTATAAGCTCTATAAAACTATGGCGTCGATAAAAAAAACGTTCACGAGGCAGTTATCGGGCACTCACTCATTTTGAGGGAGATTTCTTGTCCTTCCACCATACTTGATGCATAAAAATAGGCATGATGGACAGCTAGGATCGGAAGGACGCATAGTCTTCTCTTCCTCAAGTATTCGAACAGGGCATAGCGTTGGATTCCATAGATTCGGATAGAAAACCTTCCTCTGGATGCCAGGATTCTCGTACAAGACATGCTCCTGCAATATCAGTTTAGTTTTTTTTCGCACCATTAAACTACAGCTAGAACTTATATGTCCAAAGCAATTAGCAAACAAGCAGAATAAAATCCACGAACATTAGAAAACTAAGCTGCTTACCCCCGGATTCTTTGGAGACACATATGGATCCCCCTTCCTTAAAATGCTGAAGTGATTGAAGTCTAGCTCGAACATGTCTTCACATCCATGCCTTATGCCAAGGGATGCAAAAACAATGATCTTCCTTATGGTGTGTGACTGAGCATTTTTCGATAAAAGTGCATCCGATTCGAGTATTTTCTTTACTTCTTTTGGACAGAAGGGGACTTTCAGAGGTTTCTTATTCCATAATGCCTTTCCGGGTGATACCATTTGACAAGGCTCTTCTCCTGAAGGTGGCATATCTGCAGGTACTTGTATATCCTTCAGATTGCTTCGGGTTAAAGGTACTTGTATGTCCTGTAGTTTGTAGTCCTTTTCTCGATTTTCTTTCATTAACCGGCTGGTGTTTGCCAATGTCAGCTCACTCGGACCACTGGAACAACTTGGGAGGCAAGATATATGCATTCCATGGCCTTTACCTTCCGTACGAGGCTCGTCTTCACAAGTACTTTGATTCTCTTCACTCTCCCTATCTTTATAGACAATATTGGAATCATCCTCTTCATAAGATTCATCTTCGTCATCACTGTCATCTGTTTCCTCATGATCTCCGGCAATGTCACCGTCTTTCGGTTTATCGAAACCTGAAAAGTGGGTCTCATCCATGCTCATCCAGTTAATTAACCGGTCTTCGTGATTTTCATCCATGTGAGGCAATTCTGGTGTTTCGCTTCTCGCCTTAGAAGCTGTTTCACTTTCGACACCATTTCCATCTCTGAATCTATGACCAGCGGCTTCCATTTTCCGTCTTTTGAAGCTTCGACCTGCTGCATCTAGACAGTTGGCCTGTGAGGTAATACAAGAGACACCCATTAAGGAGTGAAAGTATATGCCTTTAGTTGCTTCAAATATGTAGACTTGCATTTGAAAATGAAAAGTAAAACAGATAAATCTAATAATTACAATACCATGTTTCGATAACCGGAAAGTTCACCGGAAAAGTCCATCGGACCATTTATCAAAGACAACTTGACAAGGCAAAAACAAGAAGTTAATCCGAAAATGTATGACTTTAATGTCATTGAAGCTCCCCTACATGGCCTTAAGCAAGAGCCAAAGCACAGAAGAGGTAAAAGGCAAATATACATTTGCTTTTGGAGAAAGTTGCATATTATTGAGATCAAAATCACTAGAGAACATAAAATAGAACAGAAAATGAAAAAAAAATGGATTGGTGAAGCAATACTTTTTCATTTGTTATAAGAGATTCCTTGTCCCTTTGTTGTATTTGAGCTTCGAGTGATGATATTCTCTCCATCAGCTCTGCATTTTTGGCCCTCTCTCGTTGCAGTTCAGCTGCAATCTCTGCAATGAAATTTACAGTAGTACTCTCAGCCTTCATTCCTTGCTCTATTGCACACATTGCCGAAGCGTTAACCAAGCTCGAGCAGGGTTGAAGTTCTGTTTCCACCATTAATGTAAACGACGAAATACTCCGAAAACCTCAGATAAAAGCTTAAAAACAAATGGTAAACACACGCTTTCACATCCAAAAGCAAGTTAGAATAACATGAAGAAAGACTTAACTTCCTCTTGAATACAAAGTCAAACGCTTTCGGAGTCGAAAACAATCAACTCGTTTACTTCCAAACAAAGAAAAAGTTAATGAGGAGAAGCAGTAAGAAGTAAGAAGGCGGCAATGAACTGGTCTTTATAGGGAGAGAAAGATATTCTTATTACCCTTCGGAGTTTCAGTTTTGGATGGTGAGAGCAATGTGGCATGCAACCACACGTGCATCTCTTTCTATCTGTCCACTTTCTTTTCCTTATTTCCATCTTTTTTTAATCTCAAACTACAAAATATCATAAATAAAAATGGCATTTAGGGTTCTATCTTAGGATATGTCAAGTCCCCTCGTTTATTACTTTATCATTTCTTTGTTCATTTGACAGCAAGTTTTGATTTAACAATAGTTGCATTGTCTTCTTATAGAGTAGTAAAGGTTGTGCCCCCGTTGTTAAGCATCCGATGCACCAGATTATATACATATAGAACCAAAAAAAAGATCTATGAATGTAAACTATACAGCTATAATATATATATATATATATATATATATATAAGAGGACAAAGATCAAATGAAGTGGGAGAATGTCAATGGCTACCCTTTTACCTGACCCACCACTCTTGGAAAATAATCAGATCTCCGCAACTATATTTTTTCCTGGTTTTTGTATATCAAGAAATTTAATCATAGATCACCCGTCTTCTGTTGTGATGATCTGTGTTGCTCAGACTTTTTATTTTTCTTAAAGTATTCGACACATAGATTATAGGGATAAGACCTCCAAGGATTCTCCAAATACATGAGAACTTCAAAAAAAAATCTAACCAAACTCGTGTAGAATATATATTCATATCTGACACACACCTGAGTTTGAGTACATAGGTGATGATCCAATTTCTGATTTATGCAGAAGTTGATGATATGGATACTACATTGAACTGGTGAAGGCTTTACTTGAAGGTCATAATATAAAACTACTTTACCCTAATTATGAATACATAAATGTAAAATGGTAGACCATGTGTATATTAGGTAAGGATTATAATTTCTGGAAAAAAATGAAAAAAAATATGGGAAATTTACTGTCTTGACTAGAGAGCAGGGAAGCACTTCATTTTCCTAGGTATAAAGAAAATGTGTGCACACGTGCATGTAATTTGCTTAATGGTGGGGTTACACAAAAATATATTATAGAAAAATAAACTCACGTGGGAAGGTTAACTTTAATGGTTGTCTCTAATGCAGTTTCTGTCAGGGGAATATGAAGCTTAAGCCTTGGATACCATCCTTCTAATTTTAAACTAAACCCCCCACTTATTTAAACAAATATATCATGAACCAGATTATTTTAGTTCATGGTGAAGAAGACAGATCAGCCCTTGTCTGGTCTTATTACAAGAGTAACAAGACACAGTCTGAACTGGTTCCGAAATGGACAAAGTAGTATTTTACCAGAAAGGAGGACAGCCAGCAAGGATAAATCAGTATTTGTTAAGATATATTCTTCTTAGGGTGCTGTGTAGTAAAGAAATGCTGTGCTTTAAGGAGAAAGGAGTTTTATAATCATGATGAACACACCTTTGATGGTAAAATATTTAAAAAGAAATTGCAAGTGGCCCTGGGGTGGTGTAAGATGCAATTTGTTTTTCTCTAGTGAAGTGTGTTTCATAATGTTTCCCTCTTATGCCATTTTAAGATATTTGATCCTCGGATACTATGTGTTTTATGTTCACGTTTCAGGTCTATTACGGAGGTGATCGTTCTAATTTAGTTTACTCAATTCACAACATCATGATTCGAATGATAGTTTATGGAAGATGAATGGGATGACTCCGAGCCACACATAAACTCAGCCCCATTCAATGCAACCACCAACTCATGCAAGACTGAAGCAATGTTGAGAGTTTATGGAAAGAGTAATGAGGGAAAAGAACACCTTAAAAGTTCAAAAATCAATGAAAGAACTTGGAACTGAGATAATTTATTCAGAAAATATACACAAGCAATACTGCAACTTGAATCAATTCTAATTCACACCCTCAAAGTACCCACTTTTAGAAGAAGGATATAGCTATCAGCTATGGGCCCTGAAGAAACTTATACAGGACTATGAGTCTCTATCCAACCCATACCTTCTGCTATGATTTCTCTACTGCTGACACTGTTAGATCGGTTCAGTCTTCCCGTAACTCGGTTGTTGTGATGAACAGTAATGGGACCGTTAATGGTATCTAGAAAAACTTTCCAGTTTGGTGTGCTCCACTTCTCATCATCGTGCAGAACTCCTCGTAGTTAATTTTTCCATCCTTTTGAATTCAAATAACTTCAGTACCAGTAATGTAATAACCTTATAAGAAGTTTCCTTGGATTTGCAAACTTACATTATCGGTATCAACTTCAGAGATTACTGCCCTGATGCTGGCTTCATCACCCATTCCGTACTCTTTCATAGCAGTCTCCAGTTCGTCCTTTGTAATATACCTGCAGAGAATAATATACATAGAGATGAAGTTATATCAAACAAGCTGCAGTCTATATATTTGTCCCGGAGAATTACAGGATCAAGGGTAGTGCTTGCATGCGTGTTTTCATCATTTAACAAGAAGAACTTTCATAAGTTCTTTAGCAGAAAAGTAGAAATTATCTGCTTGATGCTGAATGCGGATAGTTTAGCATTATCAGTAAAAGAATGCAGCTATGTTAATGGAAACAGGAAAAATCAGAACTCACCCACTGTTATCTTTATCAAAATACTGGAATGCTTTGTATAGGTGTTCGTCTTTTTCGAGTCTGTATCTATTCATTGTAGCCGAGATAAACTCAATATAGTCTATCGTTCCATTTCCATCTACATCAGCCTGGAATGTAATTCCAAGGAGGCCATTTGAGTGTAAGAAACAATAACCGACTATAAATAAATCGACCAGTCGTAACAGTTTACTTACGGCTTCCATTAATTGCTTGACTTCAGCTTCAGAGAGCTTTGATCCAAGACGAGCCAAACCTGCTTTCAGTTCTTCATATGTGATTGTGCCACTCTTGTCTGTATCCATGTTTTTGAACATCGCTTTAAGACCTTTAATCTCTTCTTCAGATAGATTCTCTGCGATAACCTATAGGATATATCCGATAAACCAACATTCTTAAATGACGAAGAAACGAAGGAAAACTCACAGGTATAAAGAATTTCAGGATATCTGTGGTAAGAATACAAGCATACTGCATAAATTGTCGTGCTTAGAGAGCTATCGAACAAGAAAGGCCAACATGTGTAGCACACATATTTTACAATTTTAACTGTACATTATAACAAACTTTTTGAATGCAGTTTTGATACCATACCTTCAATGCGAGCTTCTTCAGCTTATTCATTGCCCTGAACTGCTTCAATCTGGAGAGAACAGCACTGTCTATTAGCTTGTCTGATGCTTCTCCACCAACTCTCATCCAAGGATGTTCTGACCATACCAGTATTATATGTTAATCAAACACTAAGGACTGAAGCAGACTAACATATATCGGAAGATAATTAAAACCTATCTTAATCAATTGACAAACAACAAAATTCGGAGCGCAGTCAGACTTGTAACCAACGATATACCTCTAGGAACTATATCCAATAACTAAATAGGGTACATACCAAGAACTTGAGCAGAAGTAATCCGCTTTTTCGGGTCCATGTTCAGCATCTTTCTCACCAGATCTTTGGCACTATCAGAAATTGAAGGCCACGGTTGACTTTCAAAATCCAGTTTTCCTTCAATAATGGTATCAAATATTCCTTTCTCGGTTTCTGCAATACAATTTCAGCAAAATATATCAATGTTGGTTATCAAACATGACACAACTTCTAAAACAAATAAAAGTAGCAGGGTACTTGATCCTTTTCTATTACCAGCCCAAAATGGAGGGACACCACTAAGTAGAATATACAAAATAACTCCTGCACTCCAAATGTCAACTTCCTTTCCGTAACTACGTCGCAGAATTTCGGGAGCAACATAGTATGCACTACCTACTATATCACGATATACCTTCCCTGAGTCGAATATAAAACAGTTAGTACATTTGAGACACACAAAAAATCATTTGAATAGATCAGAAAAATAGAATAGTGTAAGAAGGTGGTTGTTTAGTGATCAATGCATCTTAATGCCAATTACTTTCTTAGCAATTTGTGCATCTCAAATACCATAAGTTAAGCAATAAAATAGTGAAACTAGACTGATGGCACTAGATGTGGCAAATTATCAAAATTTCAATTACATACATGCACATTCCAAGAAATCAAAACAAGTAAACCAATTCACATAGGGAAGATTGGGGATTTAACCTTCTTCGATAAAGACGGACAATCCGAAATCGGTTGCCTTCAACATAGCTCCCTCATCCTTGCTAGATAGCAAGAAATTCTCTGGCTTGAGATCGCGGTGTATGACTCCCATGAAATGGCAAATATGAACCACATTCACTACAACCCTGAAAATAGCAGCTGCAGCTCTCTCCGAGTAATGTCCCTGAGCAATAATCCTATCAAAAAGCTCGCCCCCAGCACAAAGCTCCATCACAAGATGAACAGATTGCCTATCCTCAAAAGCACCCTTGAATTCCACAATACATTGCTGACCAGACAAATGCTGCATGATCTGGACTTCCCTCTTTACATCATCCCTGTCTTGTTTACTCCTCAGTTTCCTCTTCAATATCGATTTGCAGGCATAAGTGGAACCGGTGGAATTCTCGGTGCACAAGTAAGTTATCCCAAACTGGCCTTTACCCAGTTCTTTCCCAAGGGTATAGTATTGCTTGATGTCTTCCAATGGCTTCCCCAACACTGTTTCCTCCTTTAGAACTGGCCTGGTGCTTACCGGTGAAGGCTTCAAAGGGCAGGGACTGCCTGGGCTGCTTTGTTTGTGGAACTTGAGGCATTGACATTTTCTGGGTTTGAACTTCTTGTTGTTGGTGATTAGTTGGCTGCGTTGGTATTGAAGGAGGATCTGGCAACTTATGCTTGCTGCTAAAACAACCCATCTTTTCAAGGAAACAAATTCTTGAAATTTTGGAAGCTGGGATTTCTGTAAAAGTAAAGGTTAAAGCTTTTACACAATAAATACAATATTTTTAAATTAAAGTTGAAGCCTTTGAGGGGAATATTCCCTGATTTCGACAGAACAGAAACCTTGAGATGGAAAACCATTAAAGGAAAATGTATCTTCCCTCGCGATTATCGATGTGAGATGAGTGTACCTTAATGAATTTCCTGCCTGATAATAAATAAGGTAAACTACAAAAATAGTCATTAATGTTCAAGTAATTTTTTTTCAACTAAAAGTTTTAAAAATAACAAATTAATTAATGATATTATTGATTTATAACAAATTGATCACTAATATTATCGATTTGTATTAAATTGATCAATTGATATTAACAACTATTAACGAAGGTGATGGAAAACTGAACTAGACCCCGTTAACCGCTTACCTGAATGTCGAGCGTCACGGTGGAAATCCAAATGTCATCAACGGAAAACCTCTTCAACTTTCCTTGCAAAAAATCCCCCTTTGCAGCTCTTCCCGTTGTAATAAGAAGTTTAAGGAACCCTTGTTCTGAACTCACACCTTTGATCCTAATGAAGACAACAAAGACTTTTGCAGTAAATACCCCTCAGTGTTCTCCTTCATTTACGAAATTTCATACAACAAAGAAAACACATAATTTTTTCAAACAGGGGAAACATAGATAGAATCCAGAAAAAAGAAATCCAAAGTAAAGAGAATCATCTCTTGTTAAAGTTGAACTATCTTTCTTGGAAAGGGAGTTGCTTGATGAATTTGGACAAATCAGGTTGACAATTTTGAGTAGTTGTTGAACAACTGTAATTGTCACTAGAGTTCCCATGGTCACTGACACATGTTTTCACTTCCAACTCAAAAGGGCTTGTTGGCAATGGGATTTTTGTCTCTGATAATGGAAAAAGTCAACAAAAACAATATGTTTTCACTTCTATGAAGCAGTTAACGGTCCAATTTAACTTTCCATCACATGCGTCAAAGGTTCTTAACATAGAGTGATCAATTTGTTATAAATTGATAACGTTAGTTATCTATTTATTACTTTAAAACTTCAATAGGAAAAACAAAGATATACTCAAACATAAGTGATCGTTTGTGTAGTTTGCCCTAATAAATAATACTACTAATAAAAGGGAATTATGAGAGGCTTTTACGGATTTTCTTGATAGCACCTATTGTAATTGGATAAAGTACATAAGAGGTCAATGAATCATTTTTAATTTTTTATTTTAGGAATTGAACTTTTAAAAGTTATAAAATGATCATTAAATTTATCTAATAGTTTCGAAATGACCACTAAATATATCAAACAATTAGAATTATTATAACATTGTAGTGATTATTTTATAACTTTTAAAAGTATAATGATCAAAATGATCATTTGAGTATAATTTAATAACTCATGATATACTTTAGCCTTATCTACTTTTTCTCGTGATTAACTCGGTAATGGTATCTGTACAAACACTTTATGTGTGAAAAAGTGAGAAACTCGATAGTCCTTTAGTAGAATTATTTCGAATGTTATTAATAAAAAGAATAATAATTTTAAGAGAATTTTATTTGTATATATTTAACATGATTAAGACGATCTCGAATATAATTGAATTTATTTAACCATAAAAAACAAAAAGATGTTTTAATTTTAAGACAAAAATAATCTCTAGAAATTCAACCGAATATTTAGCTTGAATTTGGTTTGCAATTCTTTATATTGTAACTTAGGGTTAAATTTGGACATTAGTTATAGCCAATAAGTAGTAGACTTGGCTTTATGTTGAAGATAACTTGTGGACTTCAAGCATACCAAGAAACACAATGAAAATACCCTATCAGGTTCAGTTAATGTCATTTAAAATATATTTTTAAATAAATATGGTACATTAGTCTCACGTAAAAAAAATTCAAACACAAATGATTCGTTGTGCACACCATTAAATTGATAGATATGCGTATAGGAAGTGGATAATAGTTTTATAGTTTTTTTTTAAATTTTCGAATTGAATTCGAGCAAGATTTGAAGTCTAATACATTTTATTTTGACCCTTAATATTTTTTTCCTGTGTTGTTATTAAGCATGGACATAAGACCTAGACCCAATAGATTTCAATATTATAAGAGTAATGTTTTTTTATAAAACTTATGGTTGAGTTAAAGTTCAAGTTTAAGGTGAATTTTTCTGGCATGATCCAGGATAGTAATATAATTATTTATTATATATTTAAAGATAATTACAATAATACTCTATTTATATTTTTTTTCAATTAGGTATATATTTCATCGAATAAAAATAATATATATACTTATGTCGAGTATAATACATGAACTGAGTTCGAATAAGTTGAAAATCTGGCTCAACTCAACTCATATTCGCCCCTGATTGTTATGGACGTATGTAAGCCAATTAGTTGAATGAAATGAACCCATAAGTTGGAAGCCCAGATTCTTATTCTTGCAAAGATTTCCTTTTCAATATGCTATCTTTGACAACTCAACTTTCTAAATAAGAAGTGTAAATATATTTTTATACTCAAAACATACAAAAAATAAAGCGAAAAGTTTAATAACCAATAAAAAAATTGCAGTGATAAAAGAAGAAAAAATGAGAATGGAGTTGGGTAATAGACAAAGATATTGTTCATCTTTTGAATTTTTGTTCTTTTAAAAGTCACTATTTCAATGGATGGATCGTAAAATTGAGAATCTAAGAACAAATGAACTTTAACCAATGACCAATGCTGTCAAAACCATGGGTACTCAATATATATATATACCATGTATTCTTTTATACGTTATCAAAGTTGATGAGAAGATGATTAGGGATGAGCATTTGATTCGAATTCAATAAATTTTGACACTACTCAATCTTATAAGGTCGGATTTAAAAAAATTGATTTGAGTTGGTTTTTTGAAGGAGGAGGTCAAATTCGAGTTTAAGAGTAACAAATTTTCGAATCGACCCGAGATAATAATATAATTATTTTTTATATATTTAATGAGAATTACGATAATTTTTCTCTCTATATATATTTTTTTCAGTTAGGTCCCTATTTTATTTAATAAAAATGAAAATTGTGTCAAGTTGAGTGCATGTTGTTACACAAAAATTAATTTGAATTTCAGGTCGGATAGAACCTTCTTAAATTCGAGTTAAACTAAGTGATAGATGAAGAGGTGTAATACTTGAATCGATTCGAGTTCTTAGCCCACCCAAATTTGATCCGACCAACGATGGTTCCTAAAGATGACAAATATATAAAAATCTATACACCATGTGATTCACCGATGGTACATAAAATCATATATTGTGAATGCATGGAATACGATTTAAAATTTTAGAAGTAAAAAGAGAAATGAGTGGATGGAGGGAACGAATGGTTGTAAAGAAATGGAGGGGATTTTGGTGTCATCTTCTGGCAAAATGGTAAAGCCCCAACATGACAACTTTGGGTAAAATACAAATACAAGGCTTTTCTCTTATCTCTGAAGGGCTTTTCCTCCACCCATCACCTTCCATCAAAAGCAATTCTTGGTTGGGACTTTGGACCACCTCCTTTTCTCATTTTACCTTCATTTTCCATATATATATATATATATAACACATAAATTTCTTATTTTTCATTAATCATGAATAATTATAATATACTATATATTCAAAAGATTTTGAACCATTTGATAATGAACGTTCAAACACCTATGCAGACGCCATGTTCAAACTCAAAACCTTTTGAGTTAACAATCATCTCTTAACCATTGAGACGGCTTGTCCATAAATATACATAAATTTAAACAAACTAATTTTTCAAATTAGAGATATTACAACTAATACTTTAAATTAAACCTGTATTAAATATTTTAAAATTTTCGATGCAAATCCACCTACTTAATCCTTTTACTTTGTGTTCATTGTAAATTTGAGAAAAGAAATATGACTCGAATATGATAAACAATTTCATCACTCAAACTATAATTATATATTTATATTCACTATTAAAATGGAAATTATTAGAATCTTTGATTGATGACTATATGTTATTTATTTTATGTATTTATTAGTATAAATAATCTTATAATTTATTTTTCGTTTAAAGATTTGATCCGACTCACTGATTCATTTGCTGGAGTGATTGTAGCATCATAATGGCTCATTAAATGTAAATAGAAGATGGGAAGTACACTTTAATTTCTAATCTCAATTTAAGAGCATAATTCTTTTAGGTCCCTCGATTCAAAATTCAGCTTGCTTGAGCTCACTCGCTACTAAGTTGACTCAACTGTGTCGACTCAGCCGAATCATTGCTCAAGTTTTAATATATAATAATTAATGTTTTTTTCTGACTTAACAAATTGGTTTAACATTAACCATAGAACCCGGTTTGGCTCCATACTGCGTCCCTGACCCGTCTCATGTCTCGGCCCTTAAGGGTTCGACCCACGCCTTCACAGACCGAAGCCCCACCCGATTTTTTCCTCCGAGCGTATTCACGCGCCAGGTACTCGTGTGGGGGCATCATATCCGACTCACCACCATCATCGTCCGAGTCATGCATAGACTCCAGCGAGTCGGCCCTGTAAATCTTACTCCAGTCAGGCACGTTCAAAGGCGCCGACGTTGCCAATAGTCGTCCACGTGGCGCTTCCGCCTCCTGCGTCACGTTGTCGTGGACGGTACGGTACTGGTGCACGATCCCACTTTTCATCGAAGAAGAATCCTCGAAGGCCAGAGAAAGCCCACCCACGTGACAATCACCGCCACCACCTCGGGGGATCCGGCGGCGGCCGCCTCTCGTCTCGTAGTTCCAGATCTCGTTACTATCGGTCTGGTCGTCACGGTCGGTATCATTATCGGCCATCGACCAAACATCTTCCTCCCGAAGCTCCGAATCGCCGGCGATAGTGTCAGTTTGACCGTGACCGTAACCGTAACTTCCCAGAAATAGTTCGCTTCTGCTGGTGGTCAACCGTCGGCCCTTCGCCATTTAAAACAATCAAAATACTATTCAAATACCAGAATCAAATAGCAAAAGATTAGACACTAGTTCTCGAATGCTAACAGTGACGAAGCAAGCTAATCATGAAAGAACAGAAATTAAATCCTTGCAAATTGCAGAAGCTTCTTAAAAAAATGAAAATTTGTTTTTAAAAAAAATCCATTTGAAGAGAGAAACCATAAAAGAGGGATGAAAAGTATATTAATTGGAATCCATTAGAGAAGAGACTCAAGCATAAGGAGGCATGGAAGGGGAAGCTATGTATTTATACTACAGAGCTCTTTCTTTTTTCTCGAACATGATGCGTCCGGTTAATTATATAAATTCTGATTATAGTTAAAACTAGGGTAAATTAGATATTTCACCATTCATATTTCTTCTTTATTCTATTTTGGTCATTAAAAATTAAAAGTATATAGTTTACTCATTAAACTTTTGGTTTGCTCTTATTTTGATCACTCATGTGTTAAATCATAAATGTAAGAGTGACACTAGTCATGTGTATTGATGCTGACTCATTTTTATTGACATGAATTTATATGTCATAATTGTCATCTATATTTTTTTTTCTTTTTTTCTTTTTTTCATGTTTTTACCTTCTTCCTTTAAAGGTGAAAATTTTATAATTTTGTCTCTATGTCACTATTAGATATTGACGAACTCATCTCATTATCCCCTACCACTCTACCAGTTTAGATTTTAGTTAACTCGTTTAAAACTTATAGAACTCAATAATTAACTCAAAACTCGTGAAGCACTAAACCATTATGATCAATAATATTCACCATTCAATCAGTTTGGAATCAAGATATACAGTTTGCTTCCTCATTCTCTAAATTCTCATTATTGAGATTTGGAAAAAAATGTTTCATCATAAAAAAAATCTAAGGAAATTTGAAGCTAAGAATTTTTTTCACAAAGAATAAAGTTTTGGGGATATTTTATAATTTGAAAAATATCCAGTCATAACACTATTAAGCATTTAACGATATAATGACCAAAATAAGATTAAATAAAAATTTCAATAAATAAAATGAGAATTTTAGACTTCTGTGACCAGATAAAATTGAGAAGAAAATTAAGTGATAAAATTAATAATATATCCTTAAAATTAAATCGAGTTAAAACGTTAACTAAAAATGAAACTTTTTCAATATTATTTTTATAAAATAAAAACAAAATTCAAAACTTTATTTTAAAAATAATCAATTTTTACTATTCGATTCAATATTTACCTTTTCAGGAAATGCGAGGATTCATTTCATGTGAATTTGGAATTCATTTTCTCATTTTCATTGCCTTTCATTTGCTGTCAGATTTCATAGGTGAGAAATTAGAAGACGCCAACAGTGCATGAAACTGTAAAAATAATATATGAATTGGAAAAACAGAAAATATAAAATAAAAATGAGAAGAGCAAGTTCACGCGCTGTTATGAAGTAGCGTGTACAACACCCCACTATTGATTGGAGGAAATTTTTTAGGTAAAGGTATTGAAAATTTGAATCGATTAAACTACATTAATGATCACTAATGTTTTAGTGAATTTCTTTTCTCATCACTGAAATTTTAAAATTCATGTTATGATCATTAATGCTATTGTTTAAATAATCATTCGATTATTGCTCCTGTTAATCTGATGATATGAAATATTAATAAAACGTTAATATCTAATTTAAGTCTTAACCTATAGCACAAATGCCAAGTACATCCTTCAACAATTTTCTTTTCAATATCAATTAAGCAATGTCCCTCCAACGCCAGCACCATACCTCCTCCCTCCCTTCTTCCTTTCATCTCTCCTCTTCCGCTTGTAGAACCCTCAAGGCGTTGTCTTTTAAGTCATTTGTTGAAGGACCTACATGTTATTTTAGCAATAGATCAAGCCTTAAACTAAATATCAACTATTTTATACACGTATCACATCATTTAATTAATGGATGCTAATAATATAGTGATCATTCCATCATAAATCAATAACATTAGTAACATCATAGTAGTTTACCCATCTGAATTTTGGATAGTGATCCTAATTCCCTATTAACGTACAACATATCTTTTAAGTGGTAAATAAAATCAAATTATAAAAGTTTCAATTTTAGTGAAGATATTATTGAGATAAACAGTCATGAACTTTAAATATGGCATGCATAAATCGATATTGATTAAAATAGGTCAAGAAACATCAATATTATTGAACATAATTTTAATATGAAGGAAATTTAAATTACTTGATATCGATTTAAGGTCGATCGATACAATACTACCTCTCATTACTTTTGTATAAAACCCTTTTTGATAGTATGTCTAAAATTAACCATATCGTCCATAAATTACTATATCGAAGTTATTAGTCACTTAAATATGTACAAACACCCAATCTTTTGAATGTCACAACAATAACAATGTCAACTAAATTAGAATTTAATCAATATAAAACTATTTATATTTGAAAAAAGTAATTCACATTTAAACTATTTGTCAAAACAAAATGCAAATTATATAATAAGAAGAACATTAAAATTATTTATGTGGCTGAAAATAAATTACTATAGGAAAACAATGATGGTTAAATAAACTATAGGGGTGATGCGGAATTAACGATGTACGGGACTTATTTAATATAACATGATCAATTTAATTATTGAAAATATTTTCGCTTTGATGCATTAAAATAATCAATAAATGTTTAATTGCGGTATATAATTTAATACTTATTTTTATAAATAGATGTTCACAAAACCCAAAATAATATAAGTTTCTTTTGATGCGTAGTGAGTTAATTGCATAAAAGATCCTCAAATTATGTAAATTGGTCTTAATTTTTTTTAAATATTATAATTATCTCCTCAAAGTATTACTATTGTATCAATTCGATTCTTTTGTCAATCTAAATGTCAATTTAGATGTTAAATATCGGTTTAATCTAACTTGGATTGTAATTATAACACATAAATAAAGTTGTATGCGTGTGTGCATACCAAATAGATAACTTAAATACGACATTCTAAAAAAATATTTTTAATAGTATTTAGAAATAAATTTTAACACGTTAAATTTAAGTTATCTACGTCATTAGTGCATACATTTTTTCCAATTTGATATGATATACTTTGAATATGATCTATATTATATATGAGCGGACATTTAACGTCCATTGCTAACAATTAAGTTGATAGAATTACCTAATTGATACAATACCAATATCTTGATGACTTAATCGTAATATTTTAAAAATTAGAATTCAGAGAGCTATTTAAAATATAACTATAATTTGATGACTTATGGTGCACTTAATTCACAGATAAAAGAAATATTAAAATGACGTCAATAAAGGACACATCCACGTCAGAGTTCATTTTCTTCTTAAAAGTTAGTGGAGCCCGCACCCAAACCTATCTATCTACCTACGTGTCTTGTTTGACTACATCAATTTCATACAAAAGTGGGTCCCACAGGCCACGTGAGTTGCTCACACTTATTATGGCTTCTTAGATCATCTAACACGTAACCCATCAGTCCCCATTACGTCTAGAGCATTTCCGCGTGGCCCAACATAATTGGCTATAATTTTACTGGCTAAGAAGAGTGACCAATGACCGTGAATAAATAAATAAATAAACAAATAAAAGTATTCCTGCTTGTTTATTAGCTTAGATAGTAAAATGTTTGATATTATTTTTTTGAATAATATATTATGATTATAAAATAGTATATATTTATAATTTTTTTAATCAATTGATAATATGTAAACAACCTACGAATGCATATGTTTAAACTTGGGAATTAGGATATCTAAAGAAAACAAATTTCGACATTATTAATTTAACTAAGATTTTGAATTGATGTAAAAGCTTTATATCATTTGTCAGAGTCTTCATTTAATTTTATTCCGTATATAATCGAGACTCGTATATTTATCAAATATAATAAGATAATTTAAAATATGTTAAGTAAACTTATTCATTCATTTATTTAATAGTTGATTTGGGTGATTTAATAGTTAAATTAATCCCCCTTGTGGGTGAGGCCCTTTTTTTGTAGGGTCAAACACCAATTTGATTGTGGTTTTAGTTTAAAACAATAAAAACCTTATCCCTATTTCACCATCACTAAAGAGAAAATTATCACAAATCATCATCATCATAAGCCCTTATATAAACCCCATCAATGAGATGTTCAATTTAAATCCTGTTATTATGGTTTTACTCCCTTGATTATGCTAAAATTTAAGATTTAGTTCTTCATATTTTAAGTTGACATTTATCTTTTTATTTTAATAGTGTTATTATCATGTCTAAACTTATAACACTACTAGTAGCTAAAGTTAATTTGATGGTTTAAAAATTCTACCAAAATAATTTAACATCAGCTAACGATATTTTCAATTTGAATATACAAATAACGTTGTTAAAATCGATGTATTCAACTCTAAGTTTCAACATATTGGAGGTACTAAAAGTAGAAATAAACCTTGAATTTCTCTCCTTGAAAAGTCGTTTTTGTGGTATCGTATGTACCAATGGAGAGAGCTGTAGATAACGGCAACCGTTAGAGTCGATAATTGTAGTGGCGTGTGCTGCATCCTCACTAGCCACTCGACCGGACCGTAAAGTGAAAAAGCCGGTGGACCTGGGGGTTAGCAGAGATCGGACCCGCCCGGCCGCCCCTGGTCCCATATTCCACTAGTTGGGTTCACTAGATGGTACACCTGACCCAGCTCTGCCGAGTCTTGGATCCATCATTGCTAATCAGCATCCTATGCTACTATGCTAGGTTAAGCTTCGTTAATAGTAGGGTCCCACTCCATTCTTTTTTTCCTCCGTATACAGGGACGTTAAGTTTAAGTTTAAAAATTTAAAAAATAAAATATTTTATTGTATTTATATTTAAACTAATAAGAATCTAAAATATTATTTTATCAAAAAAAAAAAAATTAAGAGACCACAGCCTCTCCCATCCAATAAATGACTATATCATTGAGAATAAAGATATATTAAGTATTTAAATTTAAAAATTGAGAGAGACCAATCTTATTCAATTAGTATTAAAATTAAAAAAGACTTAAAATGTTATTATACAAAAAAAAAATTAGGAGGGACAATAATCTCTCGACCCCTAGGTAATTATGTGTCAGCGTGTATGTTAAACGACTCTAATTTTGTTTGATCTAATTTATAAAGTTTGTAATGCGGTCGATTTGGTGAAGAAATAAGATTAACAAAATAAAACGAAGATTTAGAGTGAACTAAGACATTGGGTCAAAGGTTGTGAGAATAATAGATATATTGCTATTGTTTATTCAAAATGGCCATTCCTTACCAATTAGAGGTTAAAAATAAGTCATCCAATGATATGGGAGCTTCTAATTGAAACTTAAAAATTCATAAAGAAGAGTTGAAAGTTATGTATCAAATAAACCACAATCCCACTCAACATGACCCACCACTTGTGTGCCCTTGTACACCAAAAACATGACGGCCCCCATTACCAGAAAAAACAGATTATGTCATGGATTTGGGATCTGTTTAACTGAAATGAACACGGTTTTCTTACCATATCCTTGGGTGCCCAAGGCAAGATCCAGGGTATTGTTATGTCATTTATTTTGGCAGAATCATAGACTCTCACTGGACACTTAACCCCAAACTCAACACTGTCATCACAACCGCCACCGTATATACACACATATATATATATATAATGCACGCATGAATGCCCTGGTTAGATACGTTGGATCAGAGTGTTTAGTAATGATTGTTTTTATGACATAGTTTATGACTAATTTAAGAAAGGGTTCGAAATGACAAATTCGAACTCATAAATGTAAATTTAAAGGTAATAATATTTTGATTAATCTATAAATATTTAAAGAAGATAATTTCGAGTTATATATACTCTCATGACCATATTGAAAGAATTCGTAGGTGTTATGACTAGAAATGATGCCATGATGTAGGTGGGAGGAGTCATAGTTCTCTAACTTTGATGGTTTAATTGTATTTTAAATTAATCTTTTAAAATTAATAAAATTAAATCCTTATCCCTCGTCAAATTTTATGATTTAATGACATTTTAAGACATTGTAATTTTAAAATTAACGAACCTTTTATAATTTTTTTCTTCAGAATTAAACAATTTAACCATAATAAGCTCAATTCGTTTAGGGAAAGAAAGAATCAGCAAAGTTTGGTTGGGGTTTGTCGGTAAGTGAGGCTTAAGAGTTGTCAGGCCAGCCAATGAAACCAGATTCTTGCACGAGTACTCAATCAAATTGTTGCAGGACAGTGGGTTCCATTGTTTCTACAATTCAAAACCTACAACCCCAACTCTCAACAACAGCTAGTGCATGCCAGTTTCCATAGTAAAAAAAACAAAAAACCTTGCATGAAGAGGGACAAGGAGTACCTACCTCAAGCCGCCTGTTACGGTACGTGAGGTGTTCAAAGAAGATAATAATAACGTATGAGTATTATATAATATATTATTGATCGACTGAATGTAAAACAATCGTCAAATCGACATCATATTTTACTCATTAAGTATGTGAGTGTTTAAAGAAGATAATATCAATTTATGGATACAAGATAATATTTCATTGGTCGAACCGTTTACCATAGATGGTTTGTGTAATGGGAAATGAACTCTATCTCTAACCATGATAGGAACATCAACATTATTCATCACCAAGAAATCCCTATCAGGAATTGTTTCTTTCAGGCTGGCCCTTTCCTTTTTTGGTTCAACATATGCATGTGTCAACCACGTATTTGATGGTGCCATAACAAGGGCATTGCTACCCTTAAATGGTGCATTGCCATCAGGTTCCCCAACTGTCTTATTCTCTTTGGGTTTAATTATAAAATACACGAAGTTAAAATATTCAGTGTTTGTGTACTATTCGTTTCTGGACTTTGGGTGGTGTAGATATTCATTAAGAAGCTCTCATTAGGAAAAAAATATTATTTTTCTTAAAAGATTCAGGTTCGAGCAGTTGCATCTGTAGCCTATAGGGTATATGTTATCAATAAATAAAATATTTTTTGAACAAATACTATTTTGTAATCAATTATATCTCTCCAATTATAAATATTTATATATACATATATTCTACTTAAACAAATTTTCTCAATTAACAGATACTTGTTCATTCTGTCAGATATAATGACAGATACCAGAAAGTGTATGTGCATAGGTTATGAGTGAAGTAAGTGCAAGCGCTGCTACAAAAATCCCACTTGCATGGTGTGGGTGCCTAGGTCCTGTGGTGCTGGTGCTGATTGCAAGTCCATTTCTGATTGAGGTGGGGTTTACTTCAATCATGAATCAATGCACTATGGTTCTTGTTTTGGCCTCTAACATCGCTTCCTATCTTATCATTTGACATATAATTCACAATAGGCCCCAAGGTCTGATCAATTCTTCCCATCATGGTCGTAATGCTCTGCTCCCTATACTAAAGTTGCTGATTAAAGGTTTAGGATTAAGAGAAAAAGATGAGATCTATGGTGGACGTAGAGGTTTTTGGGCCGAAGTCTACCATGGATCCCGACCGGGAGTGCAGGTGCGCATTCAATGGTGCTGACCTTGTTGTTCATCAAGTCCATGCAAGAATATACTTCTTTTATCTTTTGATTGAAAGTATAAATTTGTATCGAGGAAGACCCTTTGTAATATTAGGTTTCTTTCTCATAAAGTAATTAACTCTAAAGTAAATGATAGAGGTTAGAGTTATAGTAAGATGAAACCTTAAAATTCACGTGAGTTAATGTAGCTGTAAACCCTTATAATTTCAACATAATAATGAATTTTTCTTTTTCATCAGTGTTTTTTTTTTAAATTTCACGTAAATCTTATTATTCCGATTTTTTATCTTATTTGTTTTACTCCCGTTATCTTCTCGATTATCGTAATAAAGAGAAAGAATTACACGGAACCATTTTCTACATAAAAGGATCATTATGATCTCAAACTTTCATCCACTTCCACTGGCTCGAGATATTCGAGTTAGGTACGTACTAGTCCGATAATTTTGGTCATGACATATCATCTGAGCTTATAAAGCTGGTAGAGGTGGGCTAGATGACTTGATACAACCCAAAAAATTTACTACTACCAATCATTTAGGAGATGATTTGGCCTTCAAGAGTGTTTTCTCACAGAAAAAAGTGGCTTAACAAGGGTCATGGGAGACAAAGATTGGACTTCACCAGTATATTTATCTTTAAGCTGATGATGAATGTCCAATGCCAAAGGCAAATGGGAATCAAGGTATGATTTCGGGGTGAAACGATGCATGATATGAAGACAAATAATTGTAGACATGAAAGTTTAAGGACAATAATCTTGTCTTGGCATCTAACAATTGCTTTTTCTTTCCTTTCCTTTCTTGGAAACGAACCCAAAGTTATCGACGACTTCGTCATGCAACTCCGCCAGCATTTTCCCACAGGCACAATTAAAGGAAAGGTCTAGCCATAATGAAGAACTCGAGCATGTGCATATCGGCATAATGTTGAGGTAAAAGTTATGTTTAAGATCATCCATTGGAAAAACCAGCAGAACAAGGAAACAAAAAGAATCATATATCGGTTATAATTACCGAAAACAAACTTGACATGTAATGAGAAGAATCATTCATCAGAGTTGAAAATAACTAGAGAGGTTCCAAGAAAAAGGTAGTACGTTGGAACATCTGATTTTGGGCCTGTGGTAAGAAAACCTCTACAGAAAGCATAGCTTTTGACGGGATTTCCAGGGCCATAGTCCTGCTCTAGAGGAACCTATAGTTTACCTCTATCTACTAACTTGTACTGTGTCTTCGCGATCGACATATCTTGCTCTCGGTCCTGGTTCCCGGAATCTTTGCCTTCAAAGAATTCTTTTCATAGCCTCTTGGCCATTCAATGCTCCCTATCATGCCTTGAGCTATGTTTGGAATTATCAAGTCTGTGGAGCCGTATTGCTCCATTGGCTTCCGGTGCTTAAGACCACTTTTAATAGACTTTCCATTGGAAGAAATGTTCTTGGAATGGAAACTGTTCCGATTTGAAAGCCGATCATTACCCTCATTGGTTATTGCTTTATAGGCTTCGCTACTACTTGCACCTGATGTTCGCAGGTTTGCAGAAGACGGTTTCTTCCGCTTTGGCTTTCCTACAGATATCGAGCATACTCGATTAGATTCTTTATTTGTAGATAATCTGGTAGAAGTTTCATCCTGTTCTATCTCAAACCTTGGAGCACTACTGCATGCACCAACTGTGATAATAGAGCGGCCACTCTCTTCAACAGAACCCTGATTCTCGATATGATGCACCTCTTCATGGCCAGTGGCATCTTCTTCCGTGCCACTGTTGTAACCAAGAACATGGTCATTATCATGATCATTTTCCTGAGGACTCGCAGGATGGTAATCAGAAATATCTCCAGGCAAACCGTAATTAAACCATGGCTGAATTTCCCTTCCAAAAACTTCAACTCGCCGTATCTCTTCAAATATTGAGAAATTATCCCCCGATCCCGGAGGCTCGTACGAAAATTCTTCCATATCTTGAATAGTAACAGCTTTCACTGCCTGTCCAATCAACTCAGCTTTCCTCAAATCCCTCATATTCAGGCTTGTGCTTCTTGACATAAGAAAAGTTTGAAGGACAGTTATCAGCTTGTTCAACTGAGAGTACTTACTTTCAAGAGCTAATTTAGCATCAATCAACTTCATTTGGACACGTTCTTCGCGCCAAACCTCGGCAACCTGTAACATACTTCTCTCTTCTTCCACCTCTTCCCGAATCTTCATTGTCTCTATTCTCATTGCTTCAACTTCCGCCTCATCTTCTCCAATCTTCCTAGCTAGCTCATGACAGACTTCCTCCAAATGCTTTCTGGTTCTTTTTTCTGCCTCGTATTTTTGAACTGATTTTATTGCTGATAATTTAGCTTCAGCAAGCTCCGTTATTAATTGAGAATTGATTTCCTCCATTTTTTGTTGCTTTTTTCTTTCCCTGCTCAACTGACCCTTCAAATCATCAATACGTGCGCAAATCTTTCCATGTTCGTTTTTCTGCTGTGATGTTCTTTCCGCTCCAAACTTCCTCGACAGGTGCTTGACTCTATTTCTAGAGGACTGCACTTCATATTCGAGATTGTGAATGTATAACTGAGCTTGCACTAGTTGTGCTTGCAGAGCAGATACAAAAGACACAGTTCTGACTTGTTCTTCAAGAAGCTTCATGTGACTTCCTAAACCATACGCTTCAATCGGTGATGCTTTTGAGCATCTACCGTCTGGTCCGTCTCTCTTAGTTGCTCCATCTTTAGACTTTGAATGCTGGAAAAGAGATTCAAGCAACAAAGTCCACAAATCAGAGACAAAAACAACTACAAAGTATGAAACATAAATGCTATATTCTTTTCGGTAAGCAAACCTAAGAGCTCATAAACTGAGGCAGAGGAAAGGTAGAGCCTAGAACCAATCTATAAAGGAAGCTCAATGGCTTCAATGAATCCATATGGGTCCCAAGGATCAAGTTTCAGAAAACAAATTTGCTTAGATGAAGATGAAAATGATGTAGTTTGAAAAACATTAATCTAAAAAACATGTTCAGAAAACAACTATGCATAGATGAAGATGAACAAGATGTTTGAAAAACATCGATCCTTAATCAAAACAATAGAATTGGTTCTATCCTTCGAACTATCCGTCTAATGGAAATTGAACTATCCTGCAACTGCCTTATTGACCAGAGGGCTTCATCATCAAATGGTGGAGAACTACCTCTAAGAAATAGTGATATTACTACACATACTTTATGAAGAGTTCCCTGCTTTGGACCAACAATGGCGGATTGGCTTCTCCGTAACCAATGTCTTGCACCGGAACGATTGGCTTCTCCGTAACCAATGTCTTGCACCGGAACGATGTTCTTTGCCAGTATCGTCCCAAGAAAGCATCATTTTTACGCAAGCTGCGCCATGCTGCTAAGCAAGGGCGGATGCACTAAGCCCCCTAGGGGTCAAGTACATCTCATTATTTAGGAAAAAAGTGAAATTTAATATAATATATTAAAGAAAAATGAAAAAAATAAAATTTTTTACACCCCACTATTTTTAAGAAAACAAAATTAAAATTTTAGACCCCATTTATAAATTTTTAGATCGCTAAGGTAAAAAAAACACATGTTCAATGTTTTCCATTTCTCCGAAAACGAAATGACAACTGAACTTCCATTAAAAGCCATGCATCAGTTAACATCAAGTCCTAGTGACAAACAGTATTTGCAAGAACTTGTCCATATAAATACATTAAAAAATACCCTTTCCTTAATATAAGCTCATCCAAAGGGTACAAAGACATAAAATGTATAATTATAAGTTGAATTCAGCATCCAAGACAAATCTAAAAGAAGTACCCCATTGTCGACTGAGCTGAAAGATACACTTTACTATCTGGTTTCTGCTACATTTTTCTCAGTATCTAGTTATATATATATATATATATATATATATATATATATCCCATGCAAAACATGTCATTAAACTATTAAAAATAATATACTAAAACCTGAAACTTTTGAACTAAACCCGAGGTTTGTTAAATAGAACTGATCATAAACGAAGCATCATAAAAAAAAATATGAGTACCATATAGCGTGATCGATCAGAGGATTTACGTCTAGCGTTAAAGCCCCCAATTCCGTATCGCAACGAGCGCAACCGCCAGAATCCAGCAGCCAGCTTCCTCGCTGATAGCTCCACCGCGTGTCCGCCTCCGGAAAACTTGGCTTCATCTCCGGCTTCGGCGTCTGAGGAGAAGTGGAGGTGTTTCTTGCTTTCGTTGTTGTTGAAGAAAGTCCAGTACTGGAGAGGGGTTGATGGGGCTCCTACGCGCTTCCGTCGACGCCGGGTTTTGCGGCGAGCAGCGGCTGGAGGAGGATGGGTCCCGCCAAATGAGTTCATTTGGATGGCGATGGAATTAGACTTAGGAGACAAAAACAAAAGGGGGGCTCAAGTTTCGGTGAGTTTGTCTCAAAGGGCCTCAGTCAGTCGTGGCATGAAAACCGAAACTCGACACTCATCTTATTATAATGTCGTGTTTCCTTTTCCTCCCTTTTTTTATCTAGAAAAAAATATATTATATATTTTATTCGAACAAAGTATGTTTGATATAGTAGAAGGTTGTTTAAAATAATTAATTTAAAAATGGTAAAGAATCATCAAATTTATCATATTATTATAAAATAATAAAATTTTATTAAATCATTATGTATAGATATTAAATTTATCAAATTTTAATATTTATCATGATGTTATAGTGATATTATAATTTCACATATTAGTATTGATGATTATAAGAGAATATCTATTTAAAATATTCCTTAGTTATTAATAAAATACACAAGGCTAGTTCATCAACAAGTGTAGAGTGTGATACGTCACAAGACCCCAAAATTTAGAGATCTCACACTTTAAGAAATATCTTGATTTTGCTTCTAAGGACGTATACTGATAACACATTTTAAATAAAATGTCACGATAATAGAATTGTTTTGTGGCATTTTCTTAGTTTCATGTATTTAAATTTTTATTTTATTTTATAAGAAACAATCGTAATGCGGTAAATGTTGATATTTTATAATTTTTTCTTATTATCAAATATTTTAGGGACATCATTTTAAAGTATAGACATGGCCTCTAAATCTATTGGGACCGGCTGACATACATACTTTACAAATATAACTATTCGAATCTAGAAATATTAAGAAAAATAATATTTCATTTTTCCATTGAAATTGGTTAATGGGTTTGAAAATTATAATTATGATAACTCACACAAATGATATTTTACAAATTTTTCTTACATCATTTGATAAATTCTCGACAAAATTATAGATGAGCAAGATCACAACATATGTTTTAAGGGACATGAAAAACAATTCAACAAGATTACAATTAAACCCATACGTGCATGAACGTATGCATGTGCATCAAATGAAAATTTATGCATGTGAACTAGTATTAAACCTAGCACGTTTTAAACAGGCGGGCGTTGAATAATTGAACAGCCAATGCAGTGTTTGAAGCTGCTAATTTGTCAAATTCTGGAGAGACAAAGAAGTTATTTCAGCATTAGTACAAGGTATTTTCACATTAATTATAGGAGCGTTTGGCATGTAGCTGTAAGCAGTAATTGCTGGCCATACTCCTCGCTTACTTGCTTTGCCAAAACACTCATACTACTACTTAGCCATTATTATTACATTTACTTTGGTTAATTATATCTTTCCTCATTCTCAGGATCTCAACCCCCGGCCAACGCAAGCTAGCAAGCAGGGAAAAATAAAAGGTTAATTTAGGATCACTTTTAACCTAAAATGTTATATTCTCCACCCTAAAAACTTACATATATAATTGATAATAAATTCGATTACAATCGAAAATATTATATTGTGACGGGTTTTAACCTAAAATGTAATTATGCATACTCTAAAAAGTTACAAAATTAATAATAACTTCAGTTACAACTGTGAATATTACATGTGTTTCTTGACAGTAATTTTTTAGGTTGTAACTATATAATAGTTATACAATTTATCTAATTTGTTATGAATAATATACTATTTTAGATTAGAACCTACCAAAAAGGAAAAACAAAAATACTTATTACCAATAACACTATTTCCCTAACGAAAAAATAAACTAAGATAAAAAAAAACTTAGGAAGTGGTAAAAGTATTTTTTGATCATTCAACCTTAAAGAATATTTGTTTGAATCATTCATACGTTTAATAGAAAATATCAAGATGATGTTTTATGTTGATGTAGAAGTCACATATTTGTTGTCTATCTTACTTTTCTTTTTACAAAGATGAATTTATAAGGCGTCGACGCTACAAGTGATATTCTATAACGTTTTTTTTCTTCCAATCACTCAAGATATTGATAAACTCATCCTATTGTTCATTATATTTTATCAAAAAAAAAATATAAAACTCGTAATATTTTACCTAAATTATAAAAAACGACTTTAATTTATAATCTTTATCATCTAATCAATGTGCAACGTAGATATCTTTTTTTCTTCTTTTACCAAATCTACTAGGGGTGGAGCTCTGTTGGGGCCCTCTGTTAAAAATTTAGTACATTGAATATAATTTTGATATAATAGTATTTTGATTCATGTAAAAAATATTTAAATTAAAAAATATAAGAATTTATTAAATATTTAATCGAGTAGGGGCCAAACTAAAGAATGATAACCTCGTGTTCTCAATTTTTTTTGTCTAGTAACAATTTAAGTCATTGTAAGTTTAAATATTAGACAAATTAATTGTTGTTTTGTGAATTTTGAGTTATATATATATATAACAATAATCCCTTAATCACTAAAGCCGTTTAAATCATGTTAGATTTTGAATATAAATATCTAATAAATCATTTTATTTCTTAAATAGTCCAATATTCTTATCTCTATCAATATTTAATCTTAGCTCCATCCTTAGAACTCTAATAATTAAAATTAGTAAAAAAATTCATAAGTTAGGAAGCCGAAACAATCATAAAATCTTAAAATAATAAAAATGTATTATATAAGTCCAAGAACTCATCATATATGTTTTTTAATTTTATTTTTTAAATAAAGTTTGGTTACTTTTTAAACGCAACGAGTTCAGGCCGGTTCCTTATTTTGGCCAAAATTGAGGAACAACCTGCGAATTGGGGGACGCAAGTTGAGATAGATATGCATCGGGTTGGATTAATCTAATATGACTCAAAAATTTTATATGTTTCATTTAAAATTTAATCCGACTCAAGTTCAGGATAATTACATTTGATTTAAAATTCAACATTTTTGAGATAAAATCTAATTGAATTCGATTTGACTCAAAATAATATAAAATTATTAATTTTATTTAATAAAATGAAGACTTCATTGAAAATAAATAATATAATTATTTTTAAATATATAAACTATAATTATATTATTTTTTAGATTGAGTCTAATCGAATATTTTTTATCTTAAACCCTTGCTCTATTTGACCCGAACCTAATTCTTTGGGGGAAAAACCCGATCCAATCAAGTAGGATCGGATCGAAACTCATTATGCCCAATCTCATGCCCATCTTTAGACAGAAGTCATCTGCTCCTAGTTGATACGAATGAGCATGGATCAAAATTTCAATCAACTCAAGTTCATCCGAGCTAAATTTGACTAATTTCTTTAGACAAAATCAAACGTTGAAATTTTCGTATAATTGATACGAATCAGAGGTTCAAAATTTTTGTTCACTTATACAGACTAAAACTAACTATCATGGTTGCAACCAGGGGCGGAGCTTAGTGAGGGTCCAAGGGGTATTGACTCTTGTTAAAATTCGTATATTCGATATAATTTCGATCTAATAATATTTTGATTAATGTAAAAAATAAATATTTAAATTAAAAATATAAGAATTTATTAAATATTTAATTAAATAAGGACTGAATTAAAGAAGGATAACCTTGTGTTCTCAAAATTTTTGGTCTAATAACAATTTAGGTCATTTTAAGTTTAAATATTAGACAAATTAGGTGTTATCTTATGAATTTTAAGATTTTTTTTTTAATCTAGGGTGAATAAGGTAATATATGTACAAAGACTCTTAACTATTTAACAATGAACGCTCATACCTCTACATGTGCAATGCTCGAACTCG